TTACATGGATCCCAACATCGTTTTTCAAATCTGTTGTTCACATTACTCACCGCCTTTGCAATTCTATCAATATTAACTGTAACACGAGATGAAATCATAGGTGCATATTCCACAAGTACATCATCAATATCCTCACCTCCCACAATCTTATCTATCACTTTTGCCATGCATTCAATTTCACCATTTCTCTTCGAACGCCTACCCCCTTTAATTGGATCATCACATCTTATAACACCAAACTCCCATGGTCCAGATGGTGTATCATCTTCATTCACATCACAGACACGAGCTAAATCTCTAACACAATTATCATTACATTTTTCACATATCTCTTCTAAATCAAAATAATCGCATTTACATCTATCATGATTTTTACATCGATTATATTTCTTACGACAGTAATCTCTACACTGCTCTGATGTTCCATTCGCAAAATCAATATGAATACTATTTGATTTAAATATATTTTTAATTCCAGATCCAAATTCACTCCTTGGATTATATTTTCCGATTCTCATCTGATCCTTTAAGATCGCGAATCCTTGCATGTGTATGCGCCTATCCGTGCCTGAAGCATGATGATTGAACTCCAATTGAAAGATAATATACTGAATACAATTATTCAAATCGTTAAATTTATCCTCCATAAGTTTAACAAATGATATATCCACATGTTCATAAAGAGTGAAATTAAAACGTCTGAATCTTTTTGTGGATAAATCTTTCATTTCATCCTCACAATTTAATAAAGAATATAACACATTTTTATACTCAAAATTTATTTATTACCTTAAAGTAAAATACACATAAAATAAAATATAAATAAAAAATAAAATAAATATTATCTAATGTATATAATGTGGATCGATCTCATTATCATCATCATCTGGATCTAAGTAATCCAACAATCGATCCGCCAAAATATACAAACGAAACAATAAAGTTAAAATCATGACTATCAACATCAAAACTTATTTTTTAATTTTCCCCAGAGGTATTCCAATGGTTGATCTAATATTCTGAAAAAGAGTTCCCCCACCCTCCTGATTATTTGTTTTAATATCCTTAATGTCACTTTCCCCCAAATCATTAGTTTTAGTATCAATCTTCGACTCAACTTTCTGCTTATTTGTCTTATCAACTTTCGGGTCAGCTTTTAGTATAAACTTTTTTAAAAAAGATCCTTTGGATGGTTTTGGATTATTCAATTTTTTATATTCTATATATACTAATGACATAAAAACGACAATCGACGCCCCAATGATATAATATTGTGGATATAAGATGGATGGAATGAACAACAGCAAAAATATGATTACAATTAGGGAAATAATTTTTTTCATGCCGGCGTGAAACCGTTGGGTAATTTAGGAGGACGAGTAATGAGGTAAATCGCGTGGACAAGACCTATGATAATTATTATAAATAAAAAGAAATAAAATAGAAATAAAAATATAATAAAGAAAATAATAACTACCTGGAAGGTAACCACACACTGTTAATAAGATATTGATACACAATTGGGAATCGCAACCTCTCAGTGTGAGTATTCCAAAAGGTGGACAAAAAAAGGAGAGAAGTATTAAAAGAAAAGTACTAGTACTATATGATTGAACTTGATCTGAAGACATCTTATCCTACCTCAGTTGAATTGATCTTCTTATATAATTGATTTCAATATACCAAACAATGGACATCCGTCATTCAATCTCGAATTAGAATACAGGTAAAAAAATATTAACATCAAATAATGGACACCAGTCATTCAATCTCAAATTAGAATACAAGTAAAAATAATTCAATCTCAAATTAGAATAAATATACAAAAGATAAACATTCAATCTCGAATCGTCATATTCCATTTGAAATACACTAATCCTTATTTGGAATGAATGCCTTTTCTCAAAATTTAAAATTACCAATTAATAAGATCACATTATCTCAACAAGGAAACTTTGTTCATAGTATTGTTCACGACATTGTTTACATCTATTTAATAAATCCAAAATTGGATAAGATCTATGAATCCAACACAAGTATAAAATAATCGTGATCCTGTTTATGGTAAATCATCTCAAAAAATGACAAATCATCATTATTTTCTCACCCTGATTTTTGCCATCGCACTCGTGTCCTACTTACAAAATCAAAATACTGATAAAATGTCCTTTTTCGTTCTTTTCTTCGTCATCTTTCACAACCTGACAACCAATATAATCTGGATGATTGCTGGTTTCTTCTTCATATCATACACACAATACCACGACAGTGATTATACCCTCATCATCATCTGTTGCATTATTTCAAAGGCATATGACACCATTCTCTACGAGCAAAAAAAATCAAAAATTCACAAAGATTTAACGGAAAATTACAAAAAAATTCAAGACGGACGTCTCTCTAGGCCTCCGACCAACTTGGAGCATTCTGACCATTCCGATATTTTATAAAAACAACACCTTTCTTTTTTATTTTATGCCCCTCTGGGCCCCCGACCAACTTGGAGCATTTCTGACCATTCCAATATTTTATAAAAACAATACCTTTTCTTTTTTATTTTATCTTATCATAATGGAAGACAGATTTCTATACACATCTAGCACACCTAGCACACCATATTATAAAGAAACTGAATTTTCTAATGAATTTACCA